ATATATATATACACATATATACACATACACACACACACATTGGTGCTATTTTCTCGCGCGTTATACATCAACACAATTCTCCCTTTATAATACTACTTAATAAATATTTTATAACTGTGTGGTAATTACCGTCTTTCTCGTGATTACTGTATGCTTAGTTGGTGTTTGATCAGGCGCTGGACTTTGCGATGGATCTGCTACCAGCCAAGGACTAATGTCTGATGCCGCTTGACTCTCATCCTGCAAAGATATTTCAATACATTACCGAATTAATTTTTCTGTTACTAATAATTATCATTAAAAAATTGTTAAATTTAATTGTAGAATGTATATATATTGTTTGGATTGTTTGGACTGATTGACTTTAATGGCAACATTTTAATAGCAAAGAATAAATTTGAAGAATATTTAACACTTTACTGCATAAGGACTTTCACATAGAATACAAAGCGAATTATCTTTACATTTTCACAATTGGAACAGGTCTAACTTACTTCTAGAATAAAATTTTCTTACTTTCGTTTTATTAGCATTAAATTTCTTGTTTATTCTAAAAATAAGTTTTTTGTTCTTGATATCACATAGGGCGTTTATGTAATTGACGGGACGCTATAGCTGGCCTGCAAGCATAAAAAAATGTAACTGACCTTGTGTGTAAGAGTCGTAGTAGTCGTTTGTATCTCTTCGGTTTTAACGACTCGTGCACTAGCTTTTTCTGTATCCGCTTCGACCTTTTTCTCCATAGTAACCGGTTGTAAATCTTTGAAAGGATTGAGTATACCCAAGAACGGATTCGAGTCTATGAACGGATTAGTGTTCTTTTTTTGTCATCTTCCGGCTTTGCTTCCTCCTTGGAAGCTTCAGGCGTGTTAGATGTATCATTGCTAGTATCGTTAGTAAATGGATTAAAAGGATTTTGCGATTGATTTGATACTTTCGGACTTAAAGGTGTGGTCTTTTGTTCGATTTGTCCCCAGCTGTCCAATGAGAAATGCGTTACAGTTACGGAGTCGTCCATAGAAGGATTTATTGTCGTTCCACTCACGGAGAGAGTCAATTTGTCACCACCCTATTTGATAAAGAAAGCAAGAAAGCAAACACATTATGGCTGGCAACTAGCGATATAAAGCAGACACAATAAAATAAATACAAGCAACAAAATAATAATTTCAATATAATTATAGCTTAATAAGCCAAATTTGACAAAAAAAAGACTATTATACAGTACTTAATACATAATGCAAGTATAAAAAGTCACACAATTTCACGAAATATAAAATATAAAAATATATAGTCATTGTATAAAACACAATGATCCAAGCAGAATAAAAAAGTGTAAAAATATAATAATGACGCTTACCACGGAAACTATAGTTGCCGCGTCTGCATGTTGATTCTTTTTCGCAATCACTCCAGATCCTCCATCTGTAGATGTGATAGAGACCAAATTGGAATTCTTTCCTTGCTCAAGAGTTGCCTTCAGTATGTTGCACTTTAGAGATTCTGGTGGAATCGGTGTTCTAGGAGGTAATGATGACGTTCCACCCACTTGATTGTTAGGTACTAGCTGCACTTGATTGGTAATAGTTTCGACTGTCAGACTGGTTTTCATAGGTTCCGATTCTTTCTCGCTATTAACAACCGTTGTCTGATTTCTAGCCTCCAGTGGTTGTTGATCTTTGGCGAGAGACTTGAGCAGAGAATCTACCAGGGGTGATGATGTGCCTTGAACGCTGAAGGAGTCTGAAGACTTTGTACTGGATCGACTCGGCTGACGTTGTAAAGGTTCTTCGTCGGCTAAAAATATTTTTAAACGTTTCTTTAGCGTAATGTAAAAAAACGTTCAATAAACAAAATACAAAATGTCGATTTCAAAAAATTTATACTTGAAATATGACGATTAGAGAAATAATTTCCAACAATTTCAATTTTTTGTATTAACATTTTCGTGTATGCTATATCTTTTTTAATAAAGCATGAAAAATATTTTAGAAATATCGCAAGAAATCTTTTAAAATGTTCTCATGATATAATTTCTTTCAAATTTTTAATCAAATTTTTCTATCTATTCAAATTTCTAAAGTTCAACTTCCTCTTTTAAATAAAAATTTCTTGTTTTTGATAAATTAAATCAGAAAAATGACTCGGTAAACCAAGATTATTACGAGTTTCGAAATACAATACTCCAATTATCAAATACTCCGCATAGCTTACCAGGAGGCGGAGATGGTTGCGGCTGCTCGACCTGTTGTTGCTGCCGCTGTCTCTCGCGAAGGACGTGGCTCTGCCGTCGCGCGTATCTCTGACTCGGTCGTCGTTCGAACTGCACGGTGCGGCGTGCTCGATTTAGCTGCGTTGTCTGAAATTCTGTCTTGCCACTGTAACGGAAACGCGAACCCATGCGAAAAAAGTTTTGACGGCCACTAGCGCCTTTGACCGGCGCACGCAGGCGGAAGAAAGCATGATGCTCCACTGCGCACTTCCATAAATGCTTGCAAGCTTTTTCGTTCACCAGCCTAAATACAAAGGTGTGTTCTTGCTCGCCTCTACCTTCATCGTCCTCCTCCACGACCACTAATGTCAGTTTTTTTTCTTAAAATCTAAACGACCAATCTTTGGCCAGAAAAACAAGCCTATCTTCTGCGTGCCTTCGAAAACTAGAATGCCGGTCGGAGTCAAGCCTAAAGAATACTCGCAAGCATCTTTACCAAGGACAATATGCATATCAACACCATACATGTCTAACCACTTAGCCTTGCTAAGATATGCAGATTCTGCTTGAGCTGGACTAAGACCAGAACATTTAATATATTCCTCTAGTATTTCTAATTCCATTTGCTCTGTTTGACCCGGGACAAAACGGAATTCTGATACAGTGGCAGCACTGTGCATAGCAGGATCATAATCTCCTAGTTCAGCTAGAATAAGAATCCCTTTTAATTATATATATAACTTACTTGCCATATAATAACAGATGCAATAAGATTATTTTAGTTTTTACATATTAATAATATTGTTTGAATTGCTCACATTGAAGAGCCAGAGCAGCCAGTTGAACCGCAACTTGATGAGGACAATGAAGTTTGCCTTCAAGCACATCTTGCTTCAATTGCAAAAAGAATTGATATCGTGTTAATTCTTCACGAAGGGTATTTGGTTCCGAAGAATAAAACTTCACTTTCAATCTGAGTGTATATGGAGGTCCAACTAAATATAAGATAATATAAATATGACATTCTATTTACTTCTCCAAGAAAATTTTTAAAAACAACTATAATACATACTTTTGACTTGCTTCTTAATAGGTTTTGTTGGATCCAACCAATGTTGGACATTGTTGCTATCTGTATATTGAAGTCCAAAGTAATCCTTTTCTATTAAATCAAGACTATAAAATACTTGCTCGTATAAATCACTAGCTAATGCTTTTTTCTGAAAGAGAAAAATTAACAGTTTCGAAATGCAAATATATATAAATCAGAGACCAGGCAAGAAAATAAAATGACTTTGAGGAAGAAACAAGGAAGGAAAAAGAGCACTGGACTTGAAGAATTTGTGACAACAGAGGAAGAGAGAGGATGGAAAAACTTGCCGACAGCTCTATAGGTAGATCCGTGCCGTCCAACAGTACCACCCTGCACTGCACGACATTCTTGTTGCTGAGCAGCCGCTGATTCTTGATTTGAGACGAAGTGGTCTGACCGCTGACGCCACGCGCCCGTCGTCGCGACAGGAATCTCAGCATCCTGGACCCTCGCCGTCAAATCAGGACACGCGCGATCGTCGAGCATCGACCCGCGAACGAGACGCGATCCGCCCACTCTCCCTCTCTTCGCCGTTGTGATAACACATTCGAGCGACGCGATGCGACGCGGCACAGCGCGACGTTCGCAAGTACCGACTGTCGATCTCGTTGAGAAAATTTCGCGGCGTTCGCACCGTTGTTACATTCTATTCTCTTTTTTTTTTTTTTTTTCTTGTTTTTGTGGTCTTGATCCAGGCTAGACCAACACAAACCAGAGATTCATTATATTCTACACTCGCATAAGAATTACGCAAAGGGGCTATCCCACGGAAAATGTAATAAAAAGATTCACCCGCATGTATCTTCAAATGAGGTGGAAATGACAAAAGTGAGGAAATTCACTAGAGTATCTGCAACTTCATATGTTCGAAAGCTAGTAAATTTCTTTACTAGCATAGACATTTTGCTATAAATAGCAATTGTTATTTGAATAAATGATTTATTCTTGTAAATATCGTGAGGCTATTTAAATTGCAATGATTGCATTTTATTTTATAATTATTGCTATTTATAGCAAAATGTTATGGGCTATCCACGTTTCTGATATTGTATTTTGTATTTTTATTATTTCCTCCTGGTGATTTGTTAGGAAATGCTTGCTTAACTTTTCCAAATCAAATGCACGGTTTATTATTTTTTTTACACAGTTTATATTTTACTGCGTAATTTTCTTCTTTATCGTAAATATTGCATTAATAAGTCATTTTTATCTTTTTTACATCTCCAATAGGTGATTTAAGCCTTAAGCCTTAAGCCTTAATAAAAAATTGACCAATCATAGTCGAGTATTTTTCTATTCTTCGACTCTGATTCGCTCATTTCTTATGATTTAAGGCTTAAATCACCTATTGTAGACTGGGATTAACCAACAGGTTATACAATTTCCAACATAGTAGCCAACAGAATAGTCAGAACAGAAGCAAGTAAGCAATCCAGCAGCCAAAAAAGCACCGGCTTTAGTATAGAGTTCGATTACTATATCTGATATTCTCTATGGTTAATATAGACGCGCTTTTGGATAAAACATAACCCTGTATAGTTAGGGCACGTGTAGATTTATTTATCAATTACTCCTCATTAAGTGTTGAATCAACGATATATTGAAAGCGAGAGAATGTTGTTAAATCAATATCAACATTTGTCTTGATTTATAGATATTTCATTTAATTCAGATTATTACGAAATAAAAGTTGATCCTATTTAGCAGTTTTGTTTTTATAGATTTGGTGAATGTATATAAAAAGAATTGAAATTACATTTATCACGTAACATCCTGAAATACTTCAGAAAAGGAAAGTATAATTATACATTTAATTGTATATTTACTTAAATATTGCAATGAGAAATCAGCGGCCAGTTTCTTGCGGATTGGATTTTTGTTGTGCTGTAAATTTGAATGACTGTTTGGTATATGCAAGTGACTCAAAGTAAGTTATTATCAATTATATATGTTTTATTTATGACATTTTTGACATCTAATGTAGTTTGTATCTACTATAATCATATTTTTTTTTCATATTTCCAGATATGATTTTATTTGTGTTCCTTTAGTTCATCCTTTATTCAAAAGAGAATTTATCTCTGGTTGTGCCAAAAAATCGTCCAGGACCATTTACTAGGCCTGACATAATTTTATGCAGTTCAGGTATAAATGAAAATATATATATCTAAAGTCTATATATATATATATATATATATGTGTGTGTGT